TTGTGGCACACGGGCTTAGTTGCTCCGCGGCATGTGGGATCTTCCTGGACCAGGGCTCGAACTCGTGTCTCCTGCCTTGGCAGGCGGATTCTTAACCAGTGCGCCACCAGGGAAGTCCCATAATACAGTTTTTAAATGGGCAAAGAACCTGAAGACATTGTCCAAAGAAGATATATAAATAGTTAAAAGCACATGACAAGAAGCTCAACATCATTAGTTCCCAGGAAAATTCAAATCAAAACCACAGTGACCAAGATTGGCCAAGATGGAAGAGTAGGAAGACTCTGAGCTCACTTCCTCTCACAAGCACACCAAAATCACAACTAATTGCAGAACAACCACTGATGAAAAAGTCTGGTACCTACCAGAAAAGATCTTCAACTAAAGACATAAAGAAAGAGCCACAAGACAGGTAGGAGGGGCAGACTTGAAATATAGCTAAGTCCCATAACCCCAGGTGGGTGACCCACAATTTGGAGAATAATTATATTGCAGAGGGTCTCCCACAAGAGTGACAGTTATGAGCACCACGTCAGGCTCCCCAGCCTGGGGGTCTGGCACCGGGAAGACAAGGCCCCAGGGCATTTGGCCTTGAAGGCCAGTGGGACTTAATTTTGGGAGTCCCACAGGACTGGGAGAAATAGACTTCACTCTTAAATGGCACACACAAAATCTCACATGTTCTGGAACCCAGGGAAAAAGCAGTAATTTGATAGGAGCCTGGGCCAGACCTACCTGCTGGTCTTGCAGAGTCTCTCAGAGAGGTGAGGGGTGGCTGCACTCACCCAGAGAGGTGCACAGACACTGGTGGCAGCCATTCTTGGGAGTTCCTTCTACCACATGGATGCTGATACTGGCGAACACCATTGTGGAATCCTCCCTCTAGCTCATTAGCACCAAGACCTGGCCCCAGCCAACCCAACAGACTTTAGGTGCCAGTGCTGCGACAAATCAGGCCAAGCAACTAATTGGGTGGGATACAGCACCACCCATCAGCAGACAGACTGCCTAAAGACCTCCACATCTGCCTCTGGACACAGCCCTGCCCAATAGAGGGCCCAGAGCCCATTTCCACCCACCAGTGAGCAAGCACCAGCCCCAGAATCCTCTGGGCCTTGCCTCCTCTAGCCTCTGGACCAGGCTGACCCAACGTGGGCAGACACCAGATGCAAGAAAACCACAATCCCACAGCCTGCAAACCTATTCTGTCCAGACCAGGCCAGACCCTGCCCTGGGACCAGCTGGGCCCTGGCCCTGCCCACTAACAGGCCAACACAAGCTTCAGGACACCCCAGACTCTGTACCCAACTGTGTCAGGATCTGCTCCCCTTCCCTGCCTCAGCCCCAGCCATGTTATATCAGCTCTGGGATGTCTGGGCCCTGCAACCAGACTCCAGGACCTGGCTCTTGATGTCAGTAGTCCAGCATTAACCCTAGGACCCAGCTTCAACCACCAGTGGGTGGGTATCCCATAGATTTTGTAAGGTTGTGCTTTCATTTTCATTTGTCTTGAGGCATTTCCTGATTTCTTCTTTGATTTCATTGTTGACCCATTGGTTTCTTAGTAGCATGTTGTTCAGTCTCCATGTGTTCATTCTTTTTCTGTTTTTCTTTCTGTGGTTGATTTCTGGTTTCATACTGTTGTGGTCAGATAAGATGTTTCAAATAATTTCTATCCTTTTAAATTTGTTGAGGTTTTTTTTCATGACCTAGTATGTGGTCTATCCTAGAGAACATTCCATGTGCCCTTGAAAAGAATCTGTATTCTGGATTTTTTGGAAGTAGTGTTCTGTAGATATCAATTAAGTTCTACTGATCTATTGTGTCATTTAGAACCTCTGTTGCCTTACTGATTTTTTGTCTGGATGATCTGTCCATTGATGTCAATGGGGTGTTAAGGTCTACTATTATTGTATTATTGTCAGTTTCTCCCTTTGTATCTGTTAGTATCTTCAAAGAACTTATACCTACCCTTCTCAAACTATTCCAAAAAATTGAAGAGGGACCACTCCCAAATTCATTCTGAAGCCACCATCACCCTGATACCAAAACCAGACAAAAACACTACAAAAAATGAAAACCACAGGCCAATATATTTGATGAATATAGATGCAAAAATCTTCAAAACAAGATATTAGCAAACAAAATCCAACAATATGTAAAAAGGATAATACACCATGATCAAGCTGTAATCATTCCAGGGTAGCAAGGACAGCTCAATATACGCAATCAATCAATGTGATACACCACATTAACAAAAGGAAAGACAAAAACCACATGATCATCTCAATAGACAGAAAAAGCATTTGACAAAATTCAACACCCATCTTGATAAAAACTGTCACAGAAGTGGGTATAGGGGGAACATATTTCAACATAATAAAAGCCATTTATGACAAACCCACAGCCAACATAATACTGAACAGTGAAAAGCTAAACGCCTTCCCACTAAATTCAGGAACAAGACAAGGATGCCCAGTTTCACCACTTCTACTCAACATAGTATTGGAAGTCCTAGCCCCAACAATCAGATAAGAAAAAGAAATGAAAGGTATCCAAATTGGAAGGGAAGAGGTAAAATTGTCACTATTTGGAGATGACATGATACTCTATATAGAGAACCCTAAAGTCTCCACACAAAAACTATGAGAATAAATGAATTCAGCAAGGTAGTAGGATACAATATTAATATACAGAAATTTGTTGCATTTCTTTACACTAACAATGAAATTTCAGAAAGTAAAAAAAAAATCCTGTTTAAAACTGTGTCAAAAAAAATACCTAGGAATAAACTCAATCAAGGCAGTAAACACCTATATGCTGAAGACCATAAAACTTTGAAAAAGAAACTGAAGATGATTCAAAGAAATGGAAAGATATCCCATGCACTTGGATTGGAAGAATTAATATTTTTTAAATGGCCATACTACTCAAAGCAATCTACAGATTTAATGCAATCCTTATCAAAATACCCATGACATTTTTCACAGAACTAAAACAAATAATCCTAAAATGTATATGGAACAACAAAAGGCCCAGAATTATCAAAGCAATCCTGAGGGGAAAGAACAAAGCAGGAGGCATAACCCTCCAGACTTCAGACTATACTACAAAGTTACAGTAATCAAAAGAGTATGCTGTTGGCACAAAAACAGACATATAGTTCAGTGGAACAGAACAGACAGCCCAGAAATAAACCCAGAAATCTATGATCAATTAATCTTTGACAAAACAGGCAAGAATATACAATGGAGAAAAGACAGTCTCTCTTGAAGACTTGTTGATGTGGTATTGGGAAAGCTGGACAGCTACCTGTAAATCAATGAAATTACAACACTCTCTCACACCATACACAAAAATAAACTCAAAATGGTTTAAAGACCTAAATATAAGATTTGACACCATAAAACTCCTAGAAGAGAACATAGGAAAAACATTCTCTGACATAAATCGTACCAATGTTTTCTTAGGTCAGACTCCCAAGGCAATAGAAATTAAAAAATAAATAAACAAATGGGACCTAATCAAACTTACAAGCTTTTGCACAGCAAGGGAAACCATTAAAAAATGAAAAGACAACCTAAGGAATGGGAGAAAATATTTGCAAACAATGCAACCAACAAGGACTTAATTTCCAAAATATACAAACAGCTCATACAACTTAACAACAAAAAAACAAACAACCCAATCGAAAAACTGGCAGAAGACCTTAATAGACATTTCTCCAAAGAAGACATACAGATGGCCAGTAGGCACATGAAAAGACGATCAATGTTGCTAATTATTACAACCCAATCGAAAAACTGGCAGAAGACCTTAATAGACATTTCTCCAAAGAAGACATACAGATGGCCAGTAGGCACATGAAAAGATGATCAATGTTACTAATTATTACAGATGCAAATCAAAACCACAATGAAGCATCACCTCACACTGGTCAGAATGGCTGTCATCAAAAAGTCTACACATAATAAATGCCAGAGAGGGTGTGGAGATGTTCCTCTATTTTTGCCATATTACATTCTTAGAACCTTATCCCTGACAGACAAATCAAGAGTCATCCACACTAACGATTTTGGTCATATACCTGAAATAATTCTCTTTGCCACTAGATGGAGATTTAGTTAATGAGCTGTGTTGAGAAGCTGGCAGAAAAAAGGTTGGCTGTTAGCTACCAACAAGAATTACTAAATAAGGAAGCAAAGTAAGAAGGGAAATACGGATGTGGTTACAAACATGTCCACCTGTGAACTGGCAAAGGAAAAATATCTAATTAAAAGGAGAGAGCAAACCATATACATATTAAGATGCTACTATAAGAATTACAGTAAAAGTTCAGAACAGGAGAAATAAGTAAAAAATAGGAGACATTTTTAAATACCTTATTAATTGTCACAGTCTTGAAGAACTAATTGGTATCATATAGTAATCTTAAATATACTCCTTATCTTGACGTCCAGAGTTTGAATGGAGTATTACTGTTTTTCTTCTCTGCCCCTAGTTTATTATAGCGTTTTACCCAGAAGCTACTATGGTTATTCAAGCTATTCTTATCTTAGTCCTTGGTGCCAAAGGCTAAATGGGTCTAAGAAACACATGTTTTCAGATAATAAACATCCAATTTTCTCTTTATTTTCTAAGGTTATTTTATACTCTTACTTTTCTTCTACTGAAGCACAGATGTATCTAAAACTCAGGGTATAAACTTTATACTCAATTTATCCAGAAATCAATCAAGTCAAAGCCCAAATGCCTTTAGCCTTATTTAACAATAACAACAAAAACAAGAATCTTTTAGTGTACAAGAGAATGCACATGCCAAGCCATTGTAAAGCCTTTACAGAATCTACTTTAAAGTTGTAAGAAGTTAGGCTATTTGGTCATATTAAAGTCTAATAAAAAGGAACTGAAACGTCTTCTACTTCTAACTCAGAAAATCAAAATTTTTCACTTTCAAAAATATTTGGTTGAGGTGTTTAGAAGAATCCTTCCTTTCTTACCTATAAGATTGTACTTTAGTCCCGTGGTCTTGAAATTCCAGTGCTTTCTTAACAACGGCTTCATTTTCTTCTGGATAAACTGAATATGTGCAGTAAACAACTGCTTGAGCTCTAGTAACTACATTTAAAGAAGATGGAATTAATATAATGACCCCAGTAACAATCCTAAACAAATCTGTTAAGTTTTCAAATGTCTGTCTGTACTAATACCACATGGTTTTGATGGGAATTATTTCTATAGATGCTTGCATGGCTCCCCTTTAAAGCATGTATTAGTAATGTAGTCTGTGGCCAATAAATAAAGTAAATCTAACTGGATTGTATGGAAATCTAATCAATGTGACCAACCTAATTACAAACACAAACAAATAAATACTGCAGATTACCATAAGCTTGACACTCCCAGCTATTCTTCCACAAGCCATATCACGTAACTAGTTAAAAGGACTCTAGAAACAGACAGACTTAGATGTGAATCCCAATTCTGTAACTTACTGCTGTATGAACCTGGGAAAATTACTTAACTCTCCAATTCTTCAACTGTAAAATGAGGTAATCTTACTACCTGCAACTCGCTCACTTATTCACACTTACTGGGCACCTACTACATGCTAGGCAGTGTTCTCACCATTCAATACACACACACAAAAATCCCTGCCCCAGAGAGCTTATTTTCTGTTTCATTGACATAAAACAAATAAATAAGAAAATTAGGGAATTCCCTGGTGGTCCAGTGGTTAGGACTCAGCGCTCTCACTGCCAGAGGCCCACGTTCGATCCCTGGTTGGGGAACTAAGATCCTGCAAGCCAAGCAGTGGCACAGCCCAAGTAAAAAAAAAATACCACACACACACACACACACACACACACACACACACACACACACACACACACACACACACATAGCATTAGGAAGTGACAAATGCTACAGAGCAAATCAAAGCAGATACGGAGGACAGTTAGTTTCAAAAGATTATCCTGCAATTTTAAATAGAGTCATCAGAGAAAGAAGTTTAAAAATGCATTATTTATCAACTTCCTCATCTTCCAATCAACTCATTTCATAGATCATATATACTATCATATTCAAATAAATATTTTTAATAACATCAATTAAAGGGGCAGAACTCCTCTGTGTTTTCTATTTTGCCTTATTTCTACTTCACATGTTATATCTTCATATATTAAATCATCTATACTCTATACTTACCTTTGAGCCTTTGGAGGTCAGGATTTATCCACACTCATATCCCTAACAACCAGCTTAATATCTGACCCAGAGTAGGCACTTGATAAACATGCACTGAATTAATTACAGTTTATATAATTTCTCAGAGACTTCTAGATTTCCATATCTATGTGTGGAAGGGCATTGGTACTCAAAATCTAAATGCTACTCAAAATCTAAATGCAGTGATTGAAGCAATAATATAAATACTTAAAGAGCCTTGTTACTCGGACTTAAAGAGATCTAGGCTTTATCTGTAATTGCATCTCTCTGTTCTCTTTTTAGTACTAAGAGAAGTAAGAGTTTGATTAAAATTGGGATTATAGAAGAGTTAGGGGCAGGCACAATGACAACGGAAAAATTACATCGAGTAAGAAGCCAAAGAAAAGAAATAAAGATGATGAAACTGTACAACAATGGATGTATGTAATTATTTTACTTCAGCATTAAAGAAAACTGTAAATTATTCTTGCTAACCTATGTTTAAAATGATAGTAAAGCACATATTTTTGAGAATTAAATTGGTAAAAATAAATATTTTGTTATTTGAAGGAACTGAGTGTTCTGAAAAATTCACTTATGGTTCACACATCATTGCCTGAATATAATAGATAAATGAAGTATTAATGTTTCTAAGATTTACAACATATTTTCAGATTGATTACACTGATAACAAACTTACATTTCATTGCATGTGTTAGCTGTTCATATTGCTGTTGAGCAAGAACATGAAGTTTATCTTCAGACGGGCCTCCTTGAGAGAAATCTTTAAGTAAACCTGTATCTAAAAGGAAATAAATGCTTTTAAATATATCACTATTAGATGTTTTTCATATATTGCTATTATCACATTATTTAATATTTTAATCATTTTCCCTATTAATGACAGTTTTCATGGAAAATATTTATCAAAAATAAACAGGCAGGGGACTTCCCTGGTGGCGCAGTGGTTAAGAATCCACCTGCCAATGCAGGGGACACGGGTTCAAGCCCTGGTCTGGGAAGATCCCACATGCCGCGGAGCAACTAAGCCCATGCACCACAACTACTGAGCATGTGCCCTGGAGCCCGTGAGCCACAACAACTGAAGCCTGCATGCCACAACTACTGAAGCCTACGTGCCTAGAGCCCATGCTCTGCAACAAGAGAAGCCACTGCAATGAGAAGCCCATGCATCGCAATGAAGAATAGCCCCCACTCGTTGTAACTGGAGAAAGCCCGCACACAACAATGAAGACCCAACCAAAAATAAATGAATAAAAATAAATAAATTTTTTAAAATAGATAAATAAATAGGCAGTATTATAAAAATACTGACTTAAAAACTGAATTGATAAAGGTAATTTTGCTTAGTTTTAATATTATTTTTCCTTTTTTCTCCAAGTTCTTATGATATAGTCATCCAACCAGCCAAAATAAGTCATTTAGGTATAAAAAACAGAATACAGTCAGTCTGGGTACTAATAGAAGGAAAAAAGATTTATTTTCCAAGGTAGAAACTGATGGGCTATAGTCAGATCTGAGCAAGAAAGAACGCAAAAGGATACAGTTAAAAACATTAACTTACTGAAAGAAATTTTGGAAGAAAAAACTAGAGGGCCCGTGTGCAGCAATGAAGACCCAATGCAGCCAAAAATAAATAAATAAAATTAATAAAATGAAAGAAATTCTTATAGTAATTCTTTAAATTTCTGAAACTTTTTTTTTTTTTTTTTTTTTTTTTTTGCGGTACGCGGGCCTCTCACTGTTGTGGCCTCTCCCGTTGCGGAGCACAGGCTCTGGACGCGCAGGCTCAGCGGCCATGGCTCACAGGCCTAGCCGCTCCACAGCATGTGGGATCTTCCCAGACTGGGGCACAAATCCGTGTCCCCTGCATCAGCAGGTGGACTCTCAACCACTGCACCACCAGGGAAGCCCATGAAACTATTTTTAACATATTTCTTGATAATATTAACTAAGATATATTGAATACTACTCTAAATAGATTATTTTATTCAACAACCCTTGAAGCATTATTATTCCTTTTAACATTGAAAAAACTGTTCAAGCATACATTAAACAACTTGTCTAAGGTCACATGGCTACTAGTTGAGAGCCAGGTTCTAGCTTGGCAATCTGACCAACCTTCTAACCCCTGTTTTATTCTGCCTCTCAGTAACTCCCTGCAGTATGAAAGCCAATTATTTATACCATATACTTGGCTATTCCCCACTCCAGTAATATCACTAAAGGTTAATTAAACTCCATTTCTTCCCAATTTAGTTTTACACTTTACATTTTTCTCTTTCATCACTTTTTAAAGGACTATTTACCCATTATTATACTCTAAATCAGCTTACCTTTTCACCCCATTTTAAAATAATTCCAAGATGTTAGCAGAGATCGACTTCATACATTCCTCAAATATGATAATTTTTATGATAAACATTCTAAAATTGGTTGTAATGTTTTCCAATGTTAAATTGTTTTTCAAACTAATTCATGATTTCTCACGAATCTAAGTCTTTTGGATTCATCCCCACTAAATTTATGACTAATATTTCTACCATAATCACTAGGTCAGCAGTTCCTTATTTGCTCTGGCTATTACCTCATCAAAGTACAGTTTCCATCAAAACCCTCCTCTTTTCCAGGTTTGCCAAAGACCATTTCTTGGCTTAACCGGTCACCTCTTCAAGGATTTCAAAATATTACCAATATCTAGGAAACTTTTTACTTTCCCTCTTTTTGTCATTTGTAGTTACCTTTGTGCTTCACCCACACCCCAGCCTCTAAATGATTTTTACCTATGGTTTATTTTGTTCTGCATTCCCACTTCAAGATGACCCAGGATAAGGCCAGAGTCTCACAACAGTTCTAAGCTCTAGTTCTCTTAACTGGAATGCTTATTGTAGCTGCAGCTATTTCGTCCCCTCTTCTTTCAAAATCTAATTCTTCTTTGATCATTTCCCAAAGTTAGTATGGGAATTTTCTCAGTCTACCATACTCCCATCTGAGTTGGTTAGTCTTGGAAAGAAATTTTCTGTAGCAAGACAGAATTCCACATAGTTCAGTATAAGCCCAGTTAAAAATTGTGTGGTATAGTGCAGGGGTCCCCAACCCCCAGCCACGGACCAGTAGTGGTCCGTGGCCTGTTAGGAACTGGGCCACACAGCAGGAGGTGAGCAGTGGGCGAGAGAGTGAAGCTTCATCTGTATTTACAGCCTCTCCCCATCACTCACATTACCGCCTGAGCTCCACCTTCTGTCAGATCAGGGGCAGCATTAGATTCTCATAGGAATGTGAACCCTACTGTGCTGCACATGCGAGGGATCTAGGTTGCGTGGTCCTTAAGAGAATCTAACGCCTGATGATCTGAGGTGGAGCTGAGGCAGTGATGCTAGCGCTGGGGCACGGCTGCAAATACAGATTATCATTAGCAGAGAGGTTTGACTGCACAGAGACCATAATAAATCAATTGCTTGCAGACTCATATCAAATCCCTATCAGTTATACAGATTGCCAACAAACACATGAAAGAATGTTCAACATCATTAATCGTTAGAGAAATGCAAATCAAAACTGCAATGAGATATCATCTCACACCGGTCAGAATGGCCATCATCAAAAAATCTACAAACAGGGCTTCCCTGGTGGTGCAGTGGTTGAGAGTCCGCCTGCCGATGCAGGGGACACGGGTTCGTGCCCCGGTCCAGGAAGATCCCACGTGCTGCAGAGCAGCTAGGCCCGTGAGCCATGGCCACTGAGCCTGTGCGTCCGGAGCCTGTGATCAGCAAAGGGAGAGGCCACAACAGTAAGAGGCCCGCATACCGCAAAAAAAAAAAAAAATCTACAAACAATAAATTCTGGAGAGGGTGTGGAGAAAAGGCAACCCTCTTGCACTGTTGGTGGGAATGTAAATTGATACAGCCATTATGGAGAACAGTATGGAGGTTCCTTAAAAAACTAAAAATAGAACTACCATACGACCCAGCAATCCCACTACTGTGCATATACCCTGAGAAAACCATAACTCAAAAAGAGTCATGTACCAAAATATTCATTGCAGCTCTATTTACAACAGCCAGGACATGGAAGCAACCTAAGTGTCCATCAACAGATGAATGGATAAAGAAGATGTGGCACATACATACAATGGAATATTACTCAGCCATAAAAAGAAACGAAACTGAGTTATTTGTAGTGAGGTGGATGGACTTAGAGTTTGTCATACAGAGTAAAGTAAGTCAGAAAGAGAAAAACAAATGCCATATGCTAACACATATATATGGAATCTAAGGAAAAAAAAAAAAAAGGTCACGAAGAACCTAGAGGCAAGACGGGAATAAAGACGCAGACCTACTAGAGAATGGACTTGAGGATATGGGGAGGGGGAAGCGTAAGCTGTGACAAAGTGAGAGAGTGGCATGGACATATATACACTACCAAAAGTAAAATAGCTTGTGGGAAGCAGCCGCATAGCACAGGGAGATCAGCTCGGTGCTTTGTGACCACTTAGAGGGGTGGGATAGGGAGGGTGGGAGGGAGGGAGACGCAAAAGGAAAGAGATATGGGAACATATGTATAACTGATTCACTTTGTTATAAAGCAGAAACTAACACACCATTGTAAAGCAATTATACTCCAATAAAGATGTTAAAAAAAAAAATCCCTATCAGTGAGTGGCAAGTAACAATTAAGCTGCCTCTTATGGAGTAGACTGGACATAAGCAACACACTTCGGGTGTCACTGTCTCCCATCACCCCCAGATGGGACCATCTAGTTGCAGGAAAACAAGCTCAGGGCTCCCACTGATTCTGCATTATGGTGAGTTGTATACTTATTTCATTATATATTACAATGTAACAATAATAGAAATAAAGTGTACAATAAGGACTTCCCTAGTGGCAGAGTGGTTAAGAATCGCCTGCTGGACTTCCCTGGTGGCGGAGTGGTTAAGAATCAGCCTGGCAATGCAGGGGACACGGGTTCGAGCCCTGGTCCGGGAAGATCTAAGCAACTAAGAGCAACTAAGCAACTAAGCAGAGCAACTAAGCAACTAAGCGGAGCAACTAAGCCCGTGCGTCACAACTACTGAACCTGCACTCTACAGCCCACGAGTCAAAACTACTGAGTCCGTGTGCCACAACTACTGAAGCCTGCATGCCTTGAACCCATGTTCCGCAACAAGAGAAGCCACCACAATGAGAAGCCCGCAAACCACAACGAAGAGTAGCCCCCGCTCGCTACAAATAGAGAAAGCCCGTGCGCAGCAACAAAGACTCAACACAGCCAAAAATAAATAAATTTTTAAAATTAAAAAAAAAAAAAAGCACACAAAAATGTAGTGTGCTTGAATCATCCCGAAACCATCCCCCCAACTCCAACCATCAGTCCGTGGAAAAACTGTCTTCCACTAAACCAGTCCCTGGTGCCAAAAAGGTTGGGGACCACTGGTATAGTGGAATTCTTTCTATAGTGTAGTATAGTGGAATGTGCTAACTAATCGGAATTTGAATTCCAGCTTTGAATCTAGCTACATGACCTCAGGCAACTTGCTAAATTTGTCTGAATCTTGGGGGGGGTTTTTCCCCTTTATAAAACAGAGATAATTAAATAACACTATCCTCACAAAGTTATTGTGAATACTAAGTTATAATGCATGAACACTTCCTAGATATTGACTGGGGCATAGTTGCGCTCCATAAATATTAGTTTCTTTCCCTCAATTACTTTTACTTCATTTTAGATTCTGTGCTTGCTAGGAATAGAAAACAGTTACTCAACATATTCTGAATGTTGGTTGTCTAATATTCTAGTTAACCGTACCTATGCCTTTCACTATAAACAAGGGATTAGAGAAAGAAGCAATTTCAGTTAACATACTGTGATTAAGAGCATGATTCAAAGGCCAGAGTCAGAGCAGTAGTGTTTGAATCCAGGCTCTGACACTTACCAGTCAAAAGACTCTGAGTGGCTTCAACCTCTCTTGAGCCTCAGATTCCATATTTATAAAAGAGACATAATGAGTAACCAATTCATTGAGTTCTTGTGAGGATTTGATGAAATAATCCAAGCAAAGTATTTAGTTCAGTGCCTTATACATAAGTGCTCAATAAATGTTAATGTTAAATAATATTTCTTGGGCTTCCCTGGTGGCGCAATGGTTGAGAGTCCGTCTGCCAATGCAGGGGACGCAGGTTTGTGCCCCGGTCTGGGAAGATCCCACGTGCCGCGGAGCGGCTAGGCCCGTGAGCCATGGCCGCCGAGGCTGCGTGTCCGGAGCCTGTGCTCCGCAACAGGAGAGGCCACAACAGTGAGAGGCCCTCGTACCGCAAAAAATAATAATAATATTTCTTAATTTATTAAAGAAGCAAATAAACTATTCTCAGAATATTTAATCTGAGATATTTGTATCATAAAACATACATACTGGGGGTTAAAGAAGTCTTGAGTTTGAAATAGTCTGATCATGATTTAATTGGGATCATCTTGGAGCACAGACTCTAGAGTTAGGCAGATCTAAATCTGAATCCTAGCTCTCTTACCAACTAGTTATGTGACTATATAAAAATGAATGAATCTTTCTGAGTCTCAGTTTTTTTACCTATAAAATGCTGATAAATGTTAATGCCTATATTCTGAGCTCTGGTATATGCCAGAATAGCATACTGACATCTGTTCTGATTGCCTACATCACTCTAATTATTGAACATTTTGAATATTCCCCTTGCCCGTATCTCACAGAACTGGTATAATAAAGATTAAATGAGGTAATTGATGTAAAACACTTTATCCATATTAAGTGCTTTATATATGGTAGTTATTCATTAATCAGATGTATCTGATATGTCATCTTAATGATTTTAAAAATTTCATTTTAAAAATATTAAAATTTCAGGGCTTCCCTGGTGGTGCAGTGGTTGAGAGTCCGCCTGCCGATGCAGGGGATAAGGGTTCGTGCCCCGGTCCGGGAGGATCCCACATGCCGCGGAGCGGCTGGGCCCGTGAGCCACGGCCGCTGAGCCTGCGCGTCCGGAGCCTGTGCTCCGCAGCGGGAGAGGCC